CTTACAAGTGTAATCAAAAACAAACAAACAAATGGGTGAAGGTGATTGAAAAGTATAACTTTGTATACTTTTACAAAGTATAATTATACAAAGTATAATTATATAAAAGTAACAATACTGTTGTCTATTTGAAAGTTGCTAAGAAAAACAGTGACAGATTTTATTTTCTTGTACTCCAAGATCAATGTGGACTGCAGCCATGAAATTAAAAGATCCTTGTTCCTTGGAAGGAAAGCTAAAAAGAAGAGACATCACATTGCTGACAAAGAGTGTTACTGAATCGCTCAGTAGTGTCTGACTCTTTGCAACCCCATGGACTGCAGCACGCCAGGCTACCCTGTCCTTCACCATCTTCCCCGAAGTTTGCTCGAACTCATGTCTATTGAGTCAGTGATTCCATCCAACCATCTCGTTCTCTGTTGTCCCTTTCTCCTTTTGCCGTCTATTTTCCCCAGCATCAGGGTCTCTTCCAGTGAGTCTGCTCTTCGCATCAGGTGGCCAAAGTATTGGAGCTTCAGCTTCAGCATCAGTCTTTCCAGTGAGTGTTCAGGACTGATTTCCTTTAGGATGGACTGGTTGGATCTCCTTGCAGTCCAATGGACTCAGAAGAGGCTTCTCCAACACCACAGTTCAAAAGCATCAGTTCTTCGGCACTTAGGTTTCTTTATAGTCCAACTCACATCCATACATGACTACTGGGAAAACCATAACTTTGACTATACAGACCTTTGTAGGCAAAGTAATGTCTCTTCTTTTTAATATGTTGTGTAGGTTTGTCATAGCTTTTCTTCCAAGGAGAAAGCATCTTTTAATTTCATGGCTGCAGTCACCATTCACAGTGATTTTGGAGCCCAAGATAATAAAGTCTGTCACTGTTTCCATTGTTTAACCATCTATTTGCTATGAAGTAATGGGACCATATGCCATGATCTTAGTTTTTTGAATGTTGAATTTTAAGCCAGCTTTCTCACTCTCTTCCACCTTCTTCAAGAGGCTCTTTAGTTCCTCTTTGCTTTCTGCCATAAGAGTGGTGTCATCTGCATATCTGAGGCTATTGATGTTTCTCCCAGCAGTCTTGATTTCAGCTTGTCTTTCTCCCAGCCCGAGATTTCACATGATGTACTCTGCATATAAGTTAAATAGCAGGGTGACAATATACAGCCTTGACATACCCCTTTCCCTATTTTAAGATGTTGAACTTTGATGCATTAATAGTGAGACTGGTGACAGGGAATTTATCCCATTAGAAATATAGAAATTATGATACAGTCAGCATCCTTAAACTTAAGTAATGATCCTTCTGGATATCTCGATGTTATTTTAAAGCACCAATGTATTTTTCATATGAGTAACATGCTGCGTGTTAACTCACTTCAGTTGTGTCTGACTCTTTGTGACCCCATGGACTGTAGCCTGCCAGGCTCCTCTGTCCATGGGATTCTTCAGGCAAAAATACTGGAGTAGGTTGCCATTTCCTCCTGCAGGGGATCTTCCTGACCCAGGGATTGAAACCACGTCTCTTACATCTCCTGCATTGGCAGGTGGGTTCTTTATAACTAATGCCACTTGGGAAGCCCCTGAGTAACGTAATATACTAGAATAAATACCTTGAAATTATGATCATTAACAGAACTTCCTGTGGTCTCCATACTCCAGAAATTTATAATCTGGGTCCTGAAGAAGGAACAGTAAACATAGTAAGCTTAATTTTTTTGAACCTTTTACAATCTTTCCTTTATTCAACAAATGTTTATTGAGATAACGTAGTGTAGTGATTCAAATTTAAGCTCTGGAGGCCAACTGCCTGCACTTAAGTTCAGCCCTGTCTGTCACCTAGGGCAGTTGATGTGTTCTGCCTCAATTTCCCTATATTTGCTTTTATTATTGTTATTCCTTTCCATCTTTATTGAGTTATAATTGATAAGTAAAAATTTTATATATTTAAGGGGTACAGTGTGGTTTTTTAATAGCATTTAAAATTGTTTATTATTTATTTATCTTGGCTGTACTGGGTCTTTGTTGCTGTGTGAGGGATTTCTCTGGTTGTGACAAGCAGAGGTTACTCCCTAGTTGCAGTGTGCAGGCTTCTCATTGTAGTGATTTCTCCTCTTGCAGAGTGTGGGCCTTAGAGTATGTGGGCTCAGTAGCTGTGGCCTGTGGGCTCTGGAATGCAGGCTCAGCAGTTGCTGCATGTGGGCATGTGGGCATGTGGGCATATTGCCCCGAGGCCTGTGGACTCTTCCCCAGAACCATGTCCCTTGCGCTGGCAGGAGGCTTCTTAACCACTGACCACCAGGGATGTCCACAATGATGTTCTGACATATGTATACATTATAAAAATTTAATCAAGTTGATTAAAATATCCATCATCTTATACAGTTGCCATTTTTTGGTGTGTGGTGAGAAAATTTAAGTCTACTCTAGCAAATTTCACATATACAATACAGTATTATTAACTCTAGACATCTGACTGTACATTAGATCTCTAGGACATATTCATCCTGTGCAACTGAAACTTTATACCTTTGACCATCTTCCCATTTCCCCCATTTCCCAACCCCTGGCAACCACCATTCAACTCTTTGCTTTTATAAGTTGACCCTTTTAGATTCAACATATAAGCAAGATCTCACAGTACTTGACTTTTCATGTTTGGCTTACTTCACTTAGCATAATGTTCTCCAGGTTTATCCATGTTGCAAATGGCAGGATTTCCTTATTTTCTGAGGCTGAATTATATTCCACTGTGTATGTACATTGTGTTTTCTTTATCCATCCGTCTCTCAGTGGAATTTAATTTAAAAAATGGGCCTCAGGTTTATCCATGTTGCAAATGGCAGAATTTCCTCATTTTTTGAGGCTGAATTATATTCCACTGTGTGTATACATCGTGTTTTCTTTATCCATCCATCTCTCAGTGGAATTTAATTTAAAAATGGGCCTCAGGTTTATCCATGTTGCAAATGGCAGGATTTCCTTATTTTCTGAGGCTGAATTATATTCCACTGTGTATGTACATGGTGTTTTCTTTATCCATCCATCTCTCAGTGGAATTTAATTTAAAAATGGGCCTCTTGGGCATCATCTTGCATGCCTGGGGGCACTCTTTGTGCCCTCACCTTCACTTGTGGGAGAGATCATGGCTGAAGGGGTGTCTTGGCACTGAGCAGTGCTGAGTTGGGGGAATGGTGATGTGGGCAGAGTGCAACTGTTTTTACCTAAGAATGTGAATGTTCCTGGATTTTTTTTGCTCAAGTGTGGTGTGGGACCCTTCCTTGGACTCTTAGGCCACAAAAATACTCTCATCTGTGAGTGTTTCTCAAAAGTGTCTCTGGAGAGAGAGATGAGGGTTAAAAGTCTCAAGTCTGCCATCTTGCTGATGTCATTGCAGAAGATTAATGTTAGTACATTATGTGTATCTGTTTATAGTTTAAAGGAGGAAGTAATGAGAGTGAGAGTGAGATCAAGAATGAGAGAGAGATCCAAAGTAATGAATCAAATTAGAAGTGTGAAGACAGATTTAGGCATATTTAAACTCAAAGGAAGGTGGACAGCATTACAGGTTATTGAAGCAGTGTACTTAGAGATATAGGAGTAAGTAATAATTCTTTTCAAAGGGCATGGAATTCATAGTTATAACTGTAGCTAAACCTCTGTAGGAGGAGAGGGAATCAAGAAATGTTGAAGAAGTAAAATGTTAAATCTTGATAACTGATTGGATGTGAAGATTGGGTGGGCAGTATTAAGTAAAAATAGTTATTATTGTATCCAGATCATCAGGCATGTGGATAGAGTTTAGGGGAAAGTCTTATCTATTGGCAGAACTGTCTTGAATGAAGAAAGAATTTAAGCAATAATTCAATATTGGAATGTAAAGCTAAACTTGGGTGTTAAGGGCAAATACTTGGATACAAGTGCTGGAGGGTAGGGATGTACAACATGAGAATAAGGGAGCCGTGGAGGGACAGTGCAGTTGTGAAGTAAAGTGCAGGTGAGACTGAGGGGACCTTTTAAATTGAGAATTGGGTATTAAGCTTTTCTACATACATCCTGGAATGTTTATTTTGGCTGGGGCTCTAAAGATGGCAGAATATGTTTGGAACATCTATATCTTAGTAATTGAAAGTACAGCTCTGGATTCAAACTGTCTTAAGTTCATATCCTTCAGCAGTACTTATTAACTCTGATGCCCTGAGCAAGTTATTTGTACTTTCCATCTGATATATGATTTGTTCAGTGGGGACAAATAGTATCTATTTCACTGGGTGGATTTGAGAATTAAATAGAATGATTTACATAAATCTCTGAGAATAGTGCTATTATTATATGGCAGGCTATATGGAATCTTTTTCAAAGCAGAAAAAAAGTACTTAAGTTGTAGAACAATATAGTCATTATAGTAAGAAAATGGTGAGCTTACCTACATTTGAGTGAAAACTTTTAATCCATACATTAAAGGTATTTTTCATTGTTATTGAGCAAAATGCTTTTGATTGAAATGTTTGATCAAAGTCTTTGGTGCATGTGTGCATCCTCAGTTGCTAAGTCGTGTCCAACTCTTTGCGACCCCATGGTCTGTAGCCCACCAGGCTCCTCTGTCCAGGGGATTTCCCAGACAAGAATACTGGAGTAGGTTGCTGTTGCTTCCAGAGAATCTTCCTGACCAAGGGGCCAAACCCTGGTCTCCTGCAGTGCAGGCAGATTCTTTACTGTCCCTTTACAGGGAGGCCTGTAAAGGCTTTGGTAACCTTAACTAAATGTCACAAGAACAGTAAAGTCATCAAGAATTTGGATTCACTGGATATGTTTTAGAAACCCAAAGTGTTTAATCTCATTTAATTAACACTATTTTACAAATGTGAAACAAAGACATAGAGAAAGATTTTACTTCAATTTGCTTCAGACTAGAATTTTACGAACTACAGGAAAATTCTTAGCATGAAATATCATATATGAATTGTTTGTCAAAATTAATTGTCATTTAATACTTATTTATTTAGCTTTAGAGATTATCCAGATTATTTGGGAGCAACATTTCCTGGAAAGATGTGTGCTACCGGTTATTCTGCAGGAATTGTTTTGGTATGTAATGACTTAATCTTATTTGAAAACAAATACATTAAAAATTTTCCCAGCATTGCAGCATATATTTTACACATTTTATATTTATATTTACATTTAGATATTGCATTTATATTTCATCACTGTTAAAACTTTGAAATATGTAGAATTAATAGTATTCTGAAGTGCAAAGTATCTTACTACAAATATTTGGAAGTTAAAGTAGAATAAAATATCACAAATACACTTGTATTCCTTACTATATTGAAGAGTGCATCATGAAAAGATCTGCAAAGATATTTCTATAACCTAAATAGATTTTTTTTGTAGGTATAAAATTGGAGAAGTAGTCTTACAGATAAAATAACTTCAAAATCAAAACAAGTGATCAACCAAAAAGTATGATAAAAATTCTTTAAAATGTTTCAAAATTTTATGTTATTGTTCAGTCGCTCAGTCGTGTCCAACTTTTTGTGACCCCATGGACTGCAGCACGCCAGGCTTCCCTGTCCTTTCCCATCTCCCAAAGTTTGCTCAAACTCATGTCGTTTGAGTCAGTGACTCCATCCAACCATCTCGGCCTCTGCTGTCCCTTTCTCCTTTTGCCATCTATCTTTCCCAGTGTCAGGGTCTTTTGCAATGAGTTGGCACTTTGCATCAGGAGGCCAAAGTATTGGAGCTTCAGCATCAGTCCTTCCAATGAATATTCAGTGTTGATTTCCTTTAGGATTGACTGGTTGGATTTTCTTGCAGTCCATGGGACTTTAAAGAATCTTCTCCAGCACCACAATTTGAAAGCATCAATTCTTTGGCACTCAGCCTTTTTTATGGTCCAGTTCTCATATCCATACATGATTACTGGAAAAACCATAGCTTTGACTATATGAATCTTTGTTGGCAAAGTAATGTCTATTTTTTAACATGCTGTCTAGGTTTGTTATAGTTTTTCTTCCAAGGAGCAAGCATCTTTTATTTTCATGGCTGCAGTCACCATCTGCAGTGATTTTGGAGCCCAGAAAAATAAAGTCTGTCACTGTTTCCATTGTTTCCCCATCATTTGCCATGAAGTGATGGAACCAGATGCCATGATCTTCGATTTTTGAATGTTGAGTTTTAAGCCAGCTTTTTCACTCTCCTCAGTTTAAGTCTGAATTTTGCAGTAAGGAGTTCATGATCTAAGCCACAGTCACTCCTGATCTTGTTTTTTTCTGACTGTATAGAACTCCGTCTTCTGTTGCAAAGAGTATAATCAGTCTGATTTTAATATTGACCATCTGGTGCTGTCCATGTGTAGAGTCATCTCTTGTATTGTTGCAAGAGGGTGTTTGGTATGACCAGTGTATTCTCTTGGCAAAACTCTGTTAGCCTTTGCCCTGCTTCATTTTGTACTCCAAAGCCAAACTTGCCTATTACTCCAGGTATCTCTTGACTTCCTACTTTTACATTCCAGTCCCCTGTGACGAAAAGGACATCTTCTTTTTGGTGTTAGTTCTAGAAGTTCTTGTTGGTCTTCATAGAACTGTTCAACTTTAGCTTCTTTGACATTAGTGGTTGGGGCACAGACTTGGATTACTGTGATATTGAATGGTTTGCCTTGGAAATGAACAGAGATCATTCTGTTGTTTTTGAGATTTCACACAAGTACTGCATTTCGGACTTTTTTGTTGACTATGACGGCTACTCCATTTCTTCTGAAGGATTCTTTCTCACAGTAGTAGATGTAATGGTTGTCTGAATTAAATTAGCCCTTTCTGGTCCATTTTAGTTCACTGATTCCTAAAATGTTGATGCCCACCCTTGGCATCTCCTATTTGACTACTTCCAATTTACCTTGATTCATGGACCTAACATTCCAGGTTCTTATGCAATATTGTTTTTTATAGCACTGGACTTGACTTCCATCACCAGTCACATCCACAACTGGGTGTCGTTTTTGCTTTGGCTCCATCTCTTCATTCTTTCCTGAGCTATTCCCCTAGCTTGGTTTTTATCTTGGCCATTTTGTTTGGTTCCTTTTTATAGTTTCTAGTTCCTTGGTTCGGTAATGTGTGTTTCTATTGACAGTCTTTCTTAATTCCTTCAACATTTTTATTAACTGCTCTTTGAACTTGGGTTCTGGTAGATTTGGGAAGTCTGTTACATTGTTTTTTTCAGAGGATTTCTCTTTTTTAAATTGGGAGTAGTTTTCTGCCTTTTCCTTATAGTTCTCTGACTCTATGAATTTAAGAGAAACAGTTATCTACTCTGGTCTGAAGGTCTGTTTTTATGTGGAACTGAAAGCTGAATGCAGAAGAATTGATGCTTTTGAACTGTGGTGTTGGAGAAGACTCTTGAGAGTCCCTTGGACTCCAAGGAGATCCAGCCAGTCCATCCTGAAGGAAATCAGTCCTGGCTGTTCATTGGAAGGACTGATGTTGAAGCTGAAACTCCAGTATTTTGGCCACCTGATGTGAAGAGCTGACTCATTTTAAAACATCCTGATGTTGGGAAAGATTGAGGGCAGGAGGAGAAGGGGATGACAGGGGAATGAGATGGTTAGATGGCATCACTGACTCAATGGACATGAGTTTGGGTAAACTCCAGGAGTTGGTGATGGACAGGGAGGCCTGGTATGCTGCAGTTCATGGGGTCGCAAAGAGTCAGACACGACTGAGCAACTGAACTGAACTGACCCTGTATGTAAGATTGTGTAAGTCCAATAGTTTTGGTTCAAAGGCTGTTTTGATATGAATGCTTGACATGTCTTTCTCAGGGTGTGCTGGCCCTTATTCCCTTGATAGGGGGTGTGATTGTGGTGTGCTGACTAGAGTCTACACTGGATGTTGGGCAGAGCCTCTCCTTTGCTCTGTGGTTGTCACAGCCCTGTTGGGGACAGAATCTGCTCTTCAGTTGTTGGAATGGAAGTTCCCAGATCCTTTTCTAAACTGTTGTGTGAGGTAGGAGGGACTGGGACACTCCTTCTGGGACAGGAGCTGCTGTGAACTCCTCCCCAGGTGCTGTCCACCAAGATGTGTGATTGTGTGATGTTACTCGCCACTTGATGTGTGCACCCACAAAGTTTGCTGATTGTGGCACCTGGAATCATCTCTGTCATGGGAGTACCAATAATTAGCTCAGATGTCCCTCATGCTTGAATGCATTGTTCTGGTCCCCAAACTCACTGGTCTGAATCCTTCCAAAGTTATACTCCTGTGCCTGATTTGGGAGAATGGATAATCAGCTTAAATTTCAGCTCCCCCACCTCCATGTTTGGGTACCCTGGAAGTTTGCAAAACCCTCGGTGGTGGAAACCATGCTTTGTTGTGAGCATGCTGACAAGAAAGCTGCTATGGTGCACCTCTGACCCTTGTTTTGTGTGTTGACAATGAGACTCTTATGGTGGACTCCCACATCCTTCTGTGCACACTCCCAGTCATTACCCAGACCATATTCCAGGCCCGTCAAGCTATCTCTGTATAGCCAAACTGAGTCCTTTCCCCAGACTGTCCACTGAAGCTTCAGATTCAGAACTTGGCCACTTCACACTCCAGTAGGCATGTGGGAAGCTTGCTGACATGCAAAGGCAGTCTGTCCTGGTCTCTCTGTGCCCTGCTGGGGCATAATCCACCTCCCACATTCTCCCCTTGAGTCTCTGAAGCTCCCTATCTGTCCAGACCTCCCAGGTGGTAAAGGAGATTTCTAAGTGAAGGAACCTTTCTCTTTCACAGCTCCCTGCCTAGTGGCAGAGGTCCCATTCCAGTTCCTCTTTTCCCTTGTCCCTTCATCCTACTCTACTTTCTAGGACTCCTTCTTGTAGATTTAGTTGTATGCGATCTTACGCCTGCTTTCAGTAGATTTTCTGTGAGATGTGTTCTGCATGTAGATGTATTTTTGTTGTACTTGTGGGAGGAGGTGAGTTCCAGGTGCCTCTATTCTGTCATCTTGATCTCCTCCCACTCAGTAGCATTTTTAAACTTTATACTTTTACTTCTCTTCTTCTCCAGGTTCTTATTATTTTTCAGTTATTAATTATAGTTTATGTGCTTTTATATCTTTTTTATATTATATATCCTATAATGTATTTTACTATAATTGTTTTAGTATATTTGTGTTTCCACTTTTAAACTAGAGTGAATTATGCACCACCATTATGTTATCACAGTATCTAATTCTGACTATACACTTGCCATTAACAGTGACATTTATGCTAATTTTCTCATGTTTTAATGATGTTAATTAGCATTATTTAACTTCAACTTCACTCCCTTTAGTATTTCTTGTAAGGGATCTCTAGTGATGATGAACTCCTTTACCTTTGATTTGTTTTAGAATCATGATCTCTTCTTCATTTATGATGCACAGCTTTGCTGGGTATAGAATTCTTTTTTTTTTTTTCATTTATTTTTATTAGTTGAAGGCTAATTACTTTACAATATTGTAGTGGTTTTTGTCATACATTGACATGAATCAGCCATGGATTTACATGTATTCCCCATCCCAATCCCCCCTCCCACCTCCCTCCCTATCTGATCCCTCTGGATCTTCCCAGTGCACCAGGCCCGAGCACTTGTCTCATGCATCCAACCTGGGCTGGTGATCTGTTTGACCCTTGATAATATACATGTTTTGATGCTGTTCTCTCGAAACATCCCACCCTTGCCTTCTGTACATCTGTGTCTCTTTTTCTGTTTTGCATATAGGGTTATCATTACCATCTTTCTACATTCCACATATATGTGTTAATATACTGTAATGGTCTTTATCTGGGTATAGAATTCTTAGTTGACAGTTGTTTCTTTTGATATTTTTGAATATATAATCCCATTTTCTCCTCACCTGAAATATTTCTGTTGAGAAATATGCTGATAGTCTTATGGGAGTTCCCTTGTATATAACCTGATTTCTTCTTTTTTCTTCAAAATTCTTTCTTTTTCTTTATTTTAACAATTTAATTGTAATGTGTCCTCATGTAGCCCTATTTGAGTTCAACCTATTTAGGATCCTTTGTGTGTTATGCACTTGGAAGTCCATTTCTTTCCCAGTTTTGGAAAGTTTTCAGCCATTTTGCTTTAAATGAACTTTCTGTCCCTTCCTTTTCAAGTTCCTAAGATATGGATATTAGTGTGTTTGTGTGTGTCTGTGTGTGTGTGTGTGTATGTGTGTGTGTGTTCGTCCCAAAGTCATGTAGGCTCTCTTCTCTCTTTTTCATTCTTTTTAAGGTTTTGATCCTCTGACTGAATAATTTTTAAATATTCTTGCATTCTAGATCGCTGATTCTCTATTCCACTTGTTCAAGTCTACTGTTGAAGCTCTAGGACGTCTTTTTTTAATTGATTTTTATTTCTTTGTTGAACTTATTTTCTTCATTCACCGTTTTCTAATTTCATTTAGTTATCTGTTTGCTTTTGTAGTTCACTAAAATTCTTTAAGAAGTTTATTCTGAATTATTTCTCTGACAGCTCTCCTTTCCTTTTGGATCATCTATTTGCAGCATTTTTAGTTTAATTTTATTGTGTTACATTCACATGATTTTTCTTACTTTCTTCATTCCTTACTTTGGTATTTGTGCATTTGAGTAATTGGTCTCCTCTTCCAGACTTTACAGGCTTACTTTGGCAGACAGTTCTTCTTTAGCCAGCTCAGTTTAGGTTTTTGGACATGTCCTTGGGCAGACAGGTTCTATTTTGGGGTGAGAGCCACTCTCCAAGCTCTGAAGTGAAGGATGAGGGGTATTAACTGTCAGGACTGCTGGCATGGTTCCCTGCCCAAATGAGGTAGTAGGATGTACTCTGTGGTTGTCTAGATTCACTGATCAGCCTTCCTAAAAGGTAAGGAAAAAGAACTCTACTCAGCAGTAGCTGAGGAATGAATTAGCTTCCCTGCCATGACAAGGCAGCAGAATAGGCCACATGACTTGCATGCCTCATTATTTGTGGACCCATGTTAGGCAGACTGTACCCTTAATTCCTTGGCCACATGGGACCACTGGGTTTTGCTCTGAAGATGGGGAAACCATGAGCTGTGCTGTCTGTTCAAATGCCACTGTAAGCAGGATTGTTGGATAGAATGGCACAGCTTCCTGTGTGCTCTGACTAGATTCATTGGTTGGGCTTTCTGAAGGCTATATTTAGCAATGGCAGGGTTATGAATTAGTTTCCTTGCCCAGGTGGAATTGGAGAATCAGCTTAGCTCTTTGTGGGCTCAACCCAAGCTATCTGTTACTCCAGTTTCCTGGCTAGACAGCGCCAATGGCTTCGCTCTGTGAACAATCAGCTCTGCCTGCTGTACTCTCTGTTTGTGTTGCTGCACTGTGCAGCTACCAGGTATTTAGCCAGGCTTCTTGTTAGGGGTAGCCAGGGGCTCTGCCAGTCATTAGGCAAAGCTATAAACAGCTATGCTGACTGGGTAGAAGGTCCAGGGCCAGCAAAGCTTTTCACCTGAGGACTCAAATCAGGCAGATTTGCACCTCATTGACTTCCCTGATCAAACACTTCCACTGTCCTGGCTCTGCAGATCTACTAGTTGCGATCTACAGTTGCTATGGATTGGAAGTTGGCTTGCCAAGGTCTAAGCATTGATTGTTGCAACCCTCACCCCTACCCCGCCTTCTCTGTCATGATCAGATTTACAGTGGTCAAATCCCACTCGTCTTTTGTGATCCTCATGGGGCAGGACCAGAGTAGGGCTCCCAGTGACCCACAGTACTGGGGGATCTAGATGTCCACTCTGTACTCTCCTCCCACTTGAGGGACCACAGCCTGGGAAGACCTCTCAGTGTTGTGCTGCACCAGTGTGGGGGAGGGGTAATGCATCATGCATAGCTGCTCCTGCTGATCTTATGAGGTCTGTCTTGATCTCTGGTGCCGGTGGTACTTCAGCCTCACTTCCATGTTCTGGGAGTAGACTTGGGAAAGACCTATGTTATCATCTTGTTAATATCACTCCTGTTGTAATTTAATTCTGATTAGGGACTGGAGATAAGCAGGGGTAATGAGACAAAAGTTCCAGTTATTTTCATTAAAAGTATCATTTTTTAAATGTAGGGACTTTTTCATTGTTTATAGGGAAGCTTACTCTACTAGCAAGAGTGGTCCAGTGATATTTGTCCATGTCACTCTAGTTCCAATTTCAAGTTTCAGATTCTGACTCCTGCATCAAATCTGGGAAGTTTGATAATTAAATTGGTGCTATAACCCTGCAGTACTTATAACTGGGCCCTGAGCTTGGTCCTCAAACCAGTAACTAGAGCAGATGATGAGTCACTACTGTGCTGCTGTAGAGGCTTTCTGATGGCCTGTTTACATTCTCAGTTGCTCACTTATAGTTTTTCCTTTCTGTTCCATAATGGACTTCCTCTAGCACTTCCATAAGAAGCCAGTTGACCCCACAATTTTTATTATAGCTTGTTTCTGTAAGAGCGAAGTGCCTTGATGAGCCTCACATCTTGGCCTTTACCTGCACCTTATCTTATGCCACATTTGGCAATAATTTGAGAAATTATGATGTCATTGCATATTGTGAATTACCATTGTCCCATTTCTCCTTGCCAGGGAAGATACTTGTGCATTTGTTTTATTTGTGACAGCCTAATCATAAGAAAGAAGGCAGTGGCACCCCACTCCAGGACTCTTGCCTGGAAAATCCCATGGATGGAGGAGCCTGGTGGGCTGCAGTCCATGGAGTCGCTAAGAGTAGGACACGACTTCACTGTCACTTTCACTTTCACTTTTCACTTTCACGCATTGGAGAAGGAAATGGCAACCCACTCCAGTATTCTTGCCTGGAGAATCCCAGAGATGGGGGAGCCTGATGGGCTGCCGTCTATGGGGTCTCACAGAGTTGGACACGACTGAAGTGACTTAGCAGCAGCAATCATAAGAAAGCTTTCGTGAGGATCTGTTTTCTGTGGTTTCTCCTGATGCTAGTTCCTGTATCTTTGAGAATATTGGCTGGAAGCACATAGCATACTTGCGACTGAGTACTCTGGTTACATGGCCACTTTGTGAGCTGGGAAGTGGAACATCATGTGGACTCTCCTGCATGAACATGATCGTGGTCTAAGAAATTAGGCAAATGGAAGATCATGGTCCATATAGCCAAAAATCTGATGTAAAAATATCTCACTTAGGTAGTTATGACAGTTATTTAAGGATTATCTTAGGCATTCAATTGTCAAATTATGGCAAAACTAGACATAGGTTCATACATTTATATCTTAATAAAATTTCATAAGAAGGGCTTCAGGTTCTTAGTTGTCTAAGGAACTGTATTTCCATATTCTTAAGTACTTGATAAAACAATAAAATGATCTTAATTAGAAAAATACTATTTTTACTACCCTTCAGTGAATTGTCTTTTATTTGAATTTTCTTTGATGTTGATGTAGTATCCCAAGGAGATAACTTTGGAGGCAGTTTCAGTTATTGTTACCCAGATGCTGGGACTCAGTCTGGGAATATCATATGATGACCCAAAGAAATGTCGATGTTCAGGAGCCATCTGCATAATGAGTACAAAAGCCCTGTAAGTTTTTCCAAAAATAAATTTTATTTATTTGTTGAATTTATCAATAATTTGTTTAAATAATTCAAGTGAAAGTTTTTAGTATTTGCTTATAGTGCAAATTAATAAATGGACCAAGTACCACAAAATCTAAATATGAAATTTTAAGCCTAAGGGTAGTTTGGTGGAAGGTTAGTATTAAAAACAAAATAACAAATCCAGTCTGCAAGGTACATTACCAAAGGAATTTCCCGTAGACTGTGTATTTTATGAAATCACGTAAGGGATCTTTAAAAATATCTGTAGCTCACAACAAGTGACCTTTGTTTTTAGAGTATATTAATATTCTGGGAAAACTTCAATCTAAATGACATAACATTTGTGTGACTTTGGATAAATTACTAGACCTTGCTTAGGTTTAGTTTTCTCATCTTTAAAATGGAAATGATTATGCCTATTGTCTTGTTTTCCAGAGTGATATAAGAACAAAATGAGAAAATAAACTGGGAAAGTGTTTTTTAAATTGTAAAGTTTCACAAGTATGTGATGGATTAGCTACAATGATTTATAAATTTGCCAATGTTCCTCACATGGTATATGATACAAGGGCTATAGCAGGTGTCATAAGTATTCTAAAGTTTTTCATTTGTAATAAGGGCCTATGCTAAGTATGACCTATTCATAACTGAAGAACAACCAAAAGTCAAAGGCCATTACTTTTCGAAAACATACTCTTTTTATAGTTCTAAGCACCACCTAAAGTTAGTTCTTACATTCTAAAAATAGCTCAAACACATACATATTTTTGTATACAGACATGTTACATTATAAACTAGTTCTACATGTGTTATATATAAAAATAATATTTATATGTATAAAATATTTAATTTTATTAAATTTCAATGTATAAATTACAATACTGTTTATTGAATCAAATATAAGATTTATATAGCTGTATAAACAAGATGAGAATTGCCACTTTGGGCCTGTTGTCCATTTGGCCAACTATTTTCAAGTATGCTTATGACAGGATGCTTTGTGTAGCTCACCCAGAGTCTGGTATTAATGATAATAAAAATAACAGATATTTACATTGTACTTGCTGTGTGTGAGAGGGTATTTCAAACACTTTGCATATGTTGTGTCATTTGGTTTTCACAGCATCTCCTTAGGGCAGGTCCTAATATTCTCACCTTTACAGATGAGAAACTGAATTATAAAAAGGTTAACTATCTGTGGTCAGATAGTTGGTTGTGGCAGTCCAGAGTTTTGAACCCAGTCATTCTGGCTTTAGAATCTGTGTTAATAAACCTTTGGATTTGTATACTGCTTTGTGATATATCAAATGCTTTCATACATATTCTTCATTTTCTTAAAGAAACTTTTTTGATGTGTGTAGGGCAAGTGTTATCTTAATTTTAATGAAATTTAACAATTTTATTTGCATCTATGTGTAAGGTATATAAATGAATATACAAGATCTATCTATGAATGTATATAGATGTATCTTTTGCATGTCCACAGTACTTCTCATATATTATTTTATGTGATTTTCAAAGAAAGTGTGTAAGTAAAGCAAATATTATTATTTCCATTTGTCTTTTTCCATGCGTTTTTTTACTTTTTTGTGCTTTAAGGTTAACAATTATTTAATGTATTAACATTTTCACTTATAAACATACAATTTGCATATACAGGGAAAAACTGGTTCTTAAGACACCACAGAATACTAGAGACAGGCAAGCAATCAGAAAAAAAAAGATCAACCCTAGGGGAAAAAATGGAACCGCATTCCATGCCAGTGTCTGTAAACTTCGGAAGGTGAAAAAGATCGCACAGAATCACAATTAATGTAGAAAGCAAACATGGGTCATTCTGTATCAATGGCAGGAACTTTTCCCATAATTCAGATCTTGCATCCCGGTCTGGTCCATTTCATGAATGTTGATCTGAAACACAGTCGCTCACCTCTCCCTTCTCTTTAAATCTAACTCTGAAGTTAACTAAGAAATTAAACGAACAGAGCTAAGAAACAAGCAGACTGGCATGTGTTCAATATCAATGGCCAGTTATTTAAAAGTACACATGGAAGTAAAATGCTGGCTAAACATTTTACTTTAGTTAAAGTGAACAATTTCCTTCCAACTCACCTAACTTCTTGATTTAGGACTACCTAAGTGAGGCGACCAAAGATTGGCATCTATGAGAATTGGGGCCAGGGAAATGAAGCATCTCAGCCCATCTTTATGCTGAGCATGCATTTCCTGTCAGGATCAAGTCACTAGGGACAATGAACTTCCAGATTCAACTACAGTTGCCCAGCATGGCTTACCTAGCTAGGGACAGGGACTGGAGATTGGGGATCACATGTATGTCAGGACTTCAGTCCACAACTCCCTCCAGTCTGTCAGGAGGCAGCCAGGGGAACACAGGGAGACCATCTGCTTCAAGGGCATTTCAGTGACATAACTCAGTATCTGTGGTTCCAGTAATTCCTAGTTCAAAAATAACACTCCAGTGCAACATTAAAAACTGAGTTTAGTATTTTGTTTTTAAAGCATACAGCTTGAATAATGATTACCATCTGAACAAAGCTATTCTTATTACATATGATGTAAAATAAGTAACATTTTTAACTATCAAAACCAGTGTTGTCACACATAACATCTGGCAACTTTCCACCACATGACACATCAAAAGAGATGACAGCCAAGTATACTTCTTTCCAGCTGGAAGCAGACTCTCCAGTGTCAACAGGTACAGTGGAACTGGCTGGGAAACAGACCTGTGGTCACCACAATGCTCATTAGGCATCTAGTTTCCATACAGAGGTAGATCTATTTAAGTCTTCCTCAGAGGTGGAGTGGACTGATAAGTGAAACAAAAAACTGTGTCTGTAACTGGTTACATAAAATATAAACAGAATTTGTGCTACCAGGAGTGTATTTTGTGGAAACATGGCCACATGGAATATAGGGGCAGAGACCGTCATTGTGTCTTTGTAAATGTACATTTTTTAAAACATGCAGGACAGAAAACTGGAATAACTGAAGTTTTAAAATTTATATAGATAAAGAAATAAGAAATAACAGAAATGCAGGACCCTCAGTTTTTCAGAGCTTCGCATATAAGTTGGGTCTCAAAATTAAATGGTTCACTAAAGTCAGAAATAAAAGCAAGGCTGGTGTCCTAGTCAGGTGGAGAGGTATCTTGAGCAGGTCATTCATGTCTCTAGGCTGAAATTCCCATCTATAACCTGAGTTTCCCCCACCATACAGCACAGAGCTTGGGGACAGTGCCCAGTCCTACCCAGGACAGGAGATGGGCCCATTAACAGCCTTCAGAAAGACATAAAACACATCCTCAGTGCAGCCCAATCCTCTGAAACAGGACCACGGCAACTATGGCTCTCATTTCACTCTCCTCACCATTCTCTTAATATTACTTTCTCAACAAGTAGAAAAATAAGCTGTAAGTAGGCTGAAGTGGCAATAAAGAACGCTCAAAGCAAACACTAAAAACATGATGCCTCTGAATAAAATAAATTACCTCCACACACTTTTTTGGAGTTGTTGTGCCTTCTTCAAGTTTTAAATGATAAAGCCCTAAAATGTTGACACTCAAGTCTACTCCTAATTTGGGATACTTTCTAAGTATCACAACCAGAAACAAACAAAAAGAATAAAATGAAAAAGCATCATTTTCAAGGAGGGAACTGCCATCCTGTCCATCATCCTGAGCAGTCTGCTTTGCTGGAGCCCCAGAGGCTGTGGGATATCACACCACTGCCTAAGGAAGGTTCCAGCCTATAACTCCTGAAGTAACACGCAGCCAGTTCTGGTCTGAGGTTTCAAAGTCTGACATTAAACCAAAAAAGCTGCAGTCTTGCCACAGTCATTCACTCACTCCTACATCACCATGTTACCAGCAAAACACTAAAATAAATTATCCCTTAAGAACTAAGGCCTAACTCTAAAAAGAAAATGGCCTTTCAAATCAGGTGTGTCCAAAGAAAGTATTGAGAGAGTTTTATAAGGAAACTCCTCGAATGAGCCAGTGGCCCCATGTAGTCCAAATCTTTATCTGCAGTACTTCTATGTACTTATAAGTATTCTGTCACTACTTTCAAAAGAACTATTAAAGCTATTATTAAAAACATTTATAACAAACAGAAATGCCATGCATATTATATGATTGCACACAGGGTATCAGAAGCTAGGTTCCAAGGACTCTAGAAGACCCAGAACAGAGACCCTAAGGCCATGCCTGTGGCTGCTCCAGCCAGCATGCCCAGCGCCAGGTCACTGTCATTGTTTAGATACCACTCACGAATGATGACTTGGTTGGCAGGCTGCTGTCCATAAAGTCCTGCACATGAGTACTGATAGGGTACAGCATAAGCCTGTCCATCTGCAGCATAGACAACTTGAATTCCTGGTGGGTATGCACCACTGTATGGACCCATAGCCATATGCCTGCTCAGGGGTTGGTGCAGCACAGTCTGTGTAAGGAGGTGGGGAGGAAGCCACAGCTGTCTCATCATACATGATTTCTGAGCCAACATAAGCTGTGTTTGTCCTGGAATCCTGGAGTGTAAACTTCCAGGCCAAACAATCATCTGTGCTTTCTGCACAAAGACTGATGGTTTTCCCATCTCGGCAAACAATCTGCAGCATACAGCCTTTTGGCTTCCCATCTGGTGGCTGAATATCCCTACATTCATGTCCCATGCAGATGTTGATGCAGTCCACTGGCATGTGGACCTTATCTTCTACACTCTGCTGAGTTTGGTCATCATAATAGATCAGGTGACCATCTGACCACAGGTCAAACCAGTTCTTCCAGTGCGTCAAAATGGTACTCTGTCACAGCAACCATCCACTCTTCACAAAAGCCATTTTCTCACCTGCGAAGCCTCTGGCCACCACTGCGCACAGCAACAGGTCCGTAGCGAAAGGAACTGCCAGGTTACTTGGCTCCTGCTGCCTCACGATAGGGTCCTGGCTGCCATCTGATGTCCTCCATGTGTTTTTTTAAAATGCCATTGAGTACACAGAGCCTGAATGATTCTACATCAGATACACAGGTTATAAGTGGACAACAGTAGCTGATGTCAGTAATCAATGATTTATTAGTCACTTACTATAAGCCAGAGAGTTTAATTAGGCACTTTACTTATTAACATTTAATCCTCATAACAAGCCTGTGAAGTGGATGGATATTACCCCTATTTGGAGATAAGAAAACTGAGAATTAGAGAGTTTAATCATTTTGCTTAAAATCTCATTAAGTCACAAGGTTGGTACTAGTCAGCAAGTTTATCTAGCTCAAATCTTTGTTATTTTCTCTACTTCATGTTGACCTCATATAGAAGACAGTTAATATATTGGAATTAATTTAAACCAAGTAGCAAAAGAACATTAAAATGTATTTGTACAAACTTCATTATTTATTTCAGTGATCTTCCTAATATATTATTTTGATGACTTAATTTATATCTGCTTTTAAAAAGTAGGTAACTTTTAACATAGTCTGTACAGCAGATGAGTTCAGAAGTGAAGGGAGTAAGGACTCCCAGCAGCACATTCCTCTGTGGTCACCAGCGCTATATGCTCTAGTGGTTCCCCCTGAGAGGGCTATGAGTATCCTTCTGTTGTCATGGGCTAAGTACTGTGGGTTGTCTTGTAGACTTGGCTGGGTTGGCCCCTCTTCAATTGATGGCTAATCTCTGCCTTGTTCAGATGCCACCAGCCACTGGTGGGTGGACCTGTGTCACAAGGAGGCTGGCTGTGGAGCCCCATTGCTCAGTGGTTGCTGGAACTGGGATTGAGATGGGTGGCTGTGGGGCCAGGGGTCCTGCATGGACCTAGTGTCTGTCTGCTGGTGGGTGGGACCAGTTCCTGAAATGGCTTACTGCACAGTCCAGTTGTCCCAAAGCTGTTGACAGCCTGCTAGTGAGCAGGGCTGAATCCCAGGTTGGCTGAATAAAGGGCCCAAGGTGTCTCAAAAATACTGTTAATCTGCTCATGTGTAGGTCTGGAGCTCAGAGAGTCCTGGGGCTGTTGCTTGCCTGCTAGTGGGTCAGCTAGGTCCTGACATGGCAGGCCATGGGGCTCTGGTGGTACTGAGGTTGGTGTTTGCCCACTGGTTGGTGGGGTCAGAGTTCAAGAGATACTAAGGTTAGTAGTATGTTCTTGTTGGAGAGGCTGGTGGTGAGGGCAGAGCTGACTGGTGGGGGAGGCTGCTCTTGAGGAGGCTAGAGCCGAACTCACTGGTGGATCACCCATCCAGGAGTATGAGTCTTGACTTTACCATGCCTCCACCCCTCCCACTCATCTACTTATGGTTCCTTCTTCATATCTTTAGTTGTAAAAGACCTTTTCTGCTACTCTTCTAATCTTTATCATCAGTAGTTGCTCTGTAAATTGTAGATTTGATGTGCGCATGGGAGAAGGTTAGCTTAGAGTCTTCCTACTCTTTGGAAGTCATTTGGTCATTTGGAAGCCATCTTGTCATTCTCCAAAATTACTCGGTTCTTTTCTTTCTTTCTTTTTCTTTTTTTTTAGTATTTATTTATTTATTTATTTTTGGCTGCCCTGGGTCTTTGTTGCTGTGTGTGGGCTTTCTCAAGTTGTGGAGAGTGGAGGCTACTCTCTAGTTTTGGCATGCGGGCTTCACATTGTAGTGGCTTCTTTTGTTGTGGAGCATGGGCTCTTGGGTATTTGGTCTTCAGTAGTTACTGCATGTAGCCTCGGCAGTTGCATCTTAAGGGTTCCCAAGGGCAGACTCAGAAGCTGTGGTGCGGGGCTTAGTTGCCCCAAGGCATGTGGGATCTTCCTGGACCAGTGATTGGACCCATGTCTCCTGCACTGGCAGGCAGATTCTTAACCACTGGACCACCAGGGAAACCCTACTGTATTCTTTATATATATGTATATATATATATATATATAGTGAAAATACTCAACAGGAGTTCTCTTAACCAGTTTTAAAGCTATTACTTAGATATGGGTACTATGTTGAACAGCAGATCACTAAAATTTATCCATCTTGTATAACTGAAACTTTATACCCATTTTACAGGTCCTCATTTCCTGCTCCTCCTAGCCTCTTGGCAACTCTGCATCTGTGGGTGTGAATCTTGTAAATATCTCATATAAATGAAATCATGAAGTATTTTCTACTTTGTGACTAGCTTATTTCACTTAGCATAATGTCCTTGAGATTTTGTACTGTTGTTGCATATGGCAGAACTTGCTTCCTTTTTTAAAGATTGAATAATATTCCATTGCAAGTTATATTCCATTGCAAGTATGTACCACATTTTGCTTATCCATTCATCTTTCAATGACATTTAGGTTGCTGCTATATGTTTACTATTGTGAATATTGCTGCAATAAACATAGGAGTATGGATATCACTTAGATATTCTAATTTCAATAGTTTTGGATATATACTTAGAAGTAGGATTGCTAGATCATATGGTATTCTATTTTTAATTTTTTGAGGAACCTCTTTACTGTCTTCAGCAGAGACTGGATTTACATTTCCATGAACAATGTACCAAGTTTCCAGTTTCCCCATGTCCTTGCCAACAATGATCATCTATTTTTTAAAGAATCAAGAGGGAGGGTACATACATATAATTATAGCTGATTTGTGTTGTTGTATGGCAGAAACCAATACAATGTTGTAAAGAAATTTTCCTCCAGTTAAAGAAATAAATTAAAAAAAGAATCATAGCTATCTTAACAGGTATGAGGTGATAGCTCATTGTTTTTTCTTTTGATTTGCACTTCCTTGATGATTAGTGATGTTGATGACCTTTTCATATACCCATTGTTCATTTATATGTGTCTTCTTTGCAGAAATGTGTATCCAAATCCTTTGCCCATTTTCTAATTGGGTTGTTTAGTTTTTCCTGTTGAACTTGATTTTGTTTTAAGAGAATATGTGTTCAGTAAATGAAATCACATGTCCTCCTGAGGAATGACTGGCCTCTAAGCATTTGTTATGAACTTTTATCATTACCTCTTGAATTTAACATTTTGAAATTGATTTGTATAATATAGAATTGTGTTTTCAGAAGAATAATGCCAATGACATTATACGGATCCATGTTTAGGCAATCCAGTGGTATGAAGACTTTTAGCAATTGCAGTTTGAGGGACTTTGAAAACTTCATTTCAAACGTGGGGGCCCAGTGTCTTCAGAATAAGCCACAAATGCAGAGACGTCCAGCATCAATCTGTGGCAATGGCAGAGTGGAGGGGAATGAAGTCTGTGACTGTGGTACTGAGGAAGTAAGTCTAATAATTGGAAAATTGATAAATTTATTGTTTCTGTTCATCCCTCTGTAATAAATGCTGTATATCTCAAATATGACTGGGTGCCATGCAAAATATTGGCAATAATGACATAAAGTTAAAATGCATACAAGAATATGCTATCTAGATTTAATAGGTTGAAGAGTTTTGGACAAATGCTAAGACTATTCCCCTAAAATTATTGCTGATAGGAAAAACAGGAAGTCTAGAATGAGCTTTTGGTTCCAGACTAAATATGTGCAGTATTTTCAAATCTGTGCTTAACCTCTGGACATTTGATAAATGTCTTATTGAAGATTAATGTGGGAGCAGACCAATAAAGTATCCTTTAGGATATTGCCTCACATTGGAATCACAATGGAGGGAAAACTGTTAATGTTACAATCTGAGCAGTGGGTGATTCTGATTCCCCCATATCACCCTCTTCCCTGTTCCCACTGATAACCACTAGTTTGGCCTTTATATCTGAGGGGCTATTTCTGTTTTGTCGTATTCATTCATTTTTAAATTTATATTCCACATATAAGTGATAACAAAGAGTGTCTTTGTTTGACTTACTTCACTAAACATAATACTGTCTGGTTCCATTCATGTAGTTTAAATGGCAAAATTTCATTCTTTTTTTATGCCTGAATAATATACATATATTATACACATATGTGTGTATATACATATATACACATGTATATATATGTGTGCATATATATATACACATATATATGTAAATGCATATATATATATATGCACACACACACCACATCTTCTTTATCCATTCACCTGTTGACAGACATTTATGTTGCTTCTGCATCTTGGCAATTATAAATAATGCTTCTATGAACATCGGGGTGCATGTGTAATTTTAAATTAGTGTTGTTTTCTTTGGATATATATTCAGGAATGGAATTGCTGGATCATATGGTAGTTTAATTTTGTTTTTCTGTGGAATGTCCTTACTGTTTTCCATAGTGGAAAACATAGTGTACAGTGGTTCTTTTCTCCACATGCTCATCAACATTTGTTATTTGTGGTCTTTTTGATGGTAGTAATTCTGACACATGTGAGATGATCTCTCAATCATGGTTTTGATTTGCATTTCCCTAATGTTTAGTGATGTTGCCACCTTTTCATGTACCTATTGGCATGTCTTTAGAAAAATGTGTATTCAAGTCTCTGCCTATTTTTAAATCAGGTTGGTTTTTTTGATACTAGGGCTTCCCTGATAGCTCAGTTGGTAAAGAATCTGCCTGCAATGCAGCAGACCCCAGTTCAGTTCCTGGGTTGGGAAGATCCACTGCAGAAGGGATAGGCTACCCACTCCAGTATTCTTGGGTTTCCCTGGTGGCTCAGCTGGTAGAGAATCTGCCTGCAATGTGGGAGACCTGGGTTCGACCCCTGGGTTGGGAAGATCCCCTGGAGAAGGGAAAGGCTGCCCACTCCAGTATTCTGGCCTGGAGAATTCCATGGACTGTACATTCCATGGGGTCACAAAAAGTCGGACACGACTTTCACTTTCACGATACTGAGATTGGTTTTTTGATACTGAGTTGTATGAGCTGTTTACGTATTTTCAATATTAACCCCTCATCAACCATATTATTTGCAAACATTTTCTCACATTCAGTAGGCTATTTTTTTCTTTAACCAATAGTTTCCTGTGTTTTTAAGTTTAATTAGAGCTCATTTGTTTATTTTTGTTTTCTTTGCCTTAAGAGAGATCCAAAAAATGTTGTTGCAGTTAATGTCAGAGTATTCTGCCTAAGTTTTCTTCTTGGAGTTTTATGGTTTCTGGTCTTACATTTAAGTATTTAGTCTATTTTGAGTTTTATTTCAATGTATGGTGTGAAAAAAATGTTTCAGTTTTATTCCTTAAATGTAGCTGTCCAGATTCCCAGCACTGCTTATTAAAGAGATTATCTTTTCTCTATTATACATTCTTGCCTCCTTTGTTGAAAATTAGTTGACCATAAGTGCATGGGTTTATTTCTAGGCTGTCTGTTCTGTTCCATTGATTTGTGTATCTGTTTCTGTGCCAGTATCATGCTGTTTGATGTTGTCTCTTTGTACTGTAGTTTGAAATCAAGGAGTATGATACTCCCAGCTCTGTTCTTCTTTCTTCAGATTGCTTTGGCTGTTTGGAGTCTTATGTTTCATACAAATTTTAGAATTATTTGTTTTAGTTCTGTGAAAAAATGCCATTAGTATTTTGATAGAATTGCATTGAATCTGTAGCTTGCTTTGGGTATTATGGCATTTTTAGCAACATTAATTCTGCCAGTCCATGAGCACTGTATAACTTTCCATTTGCTTTTATCATCTTCAGTTTCTTTCATCTGTGTCTTACAGTTTTCCTAGTATGGGTGTTTTACCTCCTTAGATTGTTCTTAGATATTTTATTCTTTTTGATGTGATTCTAAATGGGATTGTCTTTATATTTCTTTTTTGTCAATTCATTATTAGTATACAGAAATGCAACAAATTCCTATTGCTTTAGTATCCTGCATTTAACAAAATGGCAATAAGTACATATCTATCAATAATTACTGTAAATGTAATTGTACTAAATGCTGCAATCAAAAGAAACAGAATGACTGAATGGATAAAAAAATAAGACCTATATATGTACATATACTGCCTCCAAGAGACTCACTTCAGATCTGCCCATGGTCAGCTGCAAAGACACACACAGGTTGAAAGTGAGGGAATCAGAAAAGGTATTCGGTGGAAATGGAAATCAAAAGAAGGCTGAGGTGGCAATACTTAATTTTATAAGATAAAACAGACTTCAAAGCAAAGACTGTTAGACAAAGGACATTATATAATGATTAAGGGATCAATCCAAGAAGATGTAATGTTTGTAAATGTACATGCATCCACATAGGACAAGTGGCTCAGTGGTAAAGAATCTGCCTGCCAATGCAAGAGATGCAGGTCACAAAAGAATCGGCCATGACTTGGCTACTAAACAACAACAACTAACATCAGTTCAGTTCAGTTCAGTCGCTCAGTCGTCTCCGACTCTTTGCAACCCCGTGAATCGCAGCACGCCAGGCCTCCCTGTCCATCACCAACTCCCAGAGCTTACTCAAACTCATGTCCATTGAGTCAGTGATGCCATCCAACCGTCTCATCCTCTGTCATCCCCTTCTCCTCCTGCCCCCAATCCCTCCCAGCATCAGAGTCTTTTCCAACGAGTCAACTCTTCGCATGAGGTGGCCAAAGTATTGGAGTTTCAGCTTCAGCATCAGTCCTTCCAGTGAACACCGAGGACTGATCTCCTTTAGGATGGACTGGTTGGATCTCCTTGCGCAGGTGCACCTAATTACATAAAGCAAACATCAGATGTAAGAGGAGACATTGGCAGTAAGCACAATATTAGTAAGGGACTTTAACACCTCACTTACATCTTCAGATCATTCAGACATAAAATCATTAAGGAAAGACTGGTCTTAAGTGACACATCAGACCAGAGGGAATTTATAGATATAAATACAGAGCATTCCACATCAAAGCAACAGGATACACTGTTTCAGCTGCCTTACGACATTCTGCAGGGTAGGCCACAAAACAAATCTCAGTAAATTTAAGAAAATTGAAATCATATCCAGCATCTTTTCTGACTAGAATGCTATGAGACGAGAAATAAAATACAAGAAAAAAAGTACAAAAAATAGAAACATGTTGAGGCTAAATAATATAGTGCTAGACAACTAATGGATCATGGAAGAAATCAAATAGACTAATGAATGTAGACTAATGAAAACAAAACACAATAATCCAAAATCCATGCAAAAGAAAAAGCATTTCTGAGGGAATTTTTTAATGATACAAACTTAGCTTATGAAATAAGAAAAATATCAAGCAACATGATTTTACACCTAAAGGAACTAAAAAACAGAAGAAATAAAACCCAAAGTTAATAGAAGCAGAAAAATAATAAAGATCAGAGTATGAGTAATTGAAATAGAGGCTAAAAAATTAAAAAGATTAATGAAACTAAGAGGTGATTCTTTGAGAAGGAAGAAGGAAACTGATAAACCTTTAGCTAGACTCATCAAGAAAAAAAGAGAGCCCAAGCAATAAACTCAAAAATGTAAAAGGAGAAGCTACAGCCAACACCACATAAATTCAAAGGATCATAAGAGATTATTTCAAATAATAATATGCCAGTAAAATGGGAAAAATGGAAGAAATGTACAAATTCTTAGAAATGTGTACTCTTCTAATACTAAACCAGGGAGAAATAGAAAAGATGAACAGGCCAGTTGCCAGTAATGACTTTGAATCAATAATAATAGTAATAAAATTACCAACAAAAAATCCAGGACCAATGGCTTCCTTCACAGGTAAATTCACCAAACATTTAGAGAACAGTTAACACCTGTTCCTAGGATAATAAACAACCATATGTATGTGTCTTTCCCTCAATACTTTTCTGTGTATTTGTCTGTCCTTATGCTAATTACACAGTCTTAACTAATGTACTTTTACAGTGAGTCTTAAAAACATTTTGTGTAAATCAAACTTTTGTCCTCTTTTTCAAGATACTTTTTCTATTCTAGGACCAGTTTGTTTTCATGTAAGTTGAAGAATTGTTGTATAGTTGTAGGAACTTTGATTTGAACTGTGTTGTATTCATATATCAATTTGAGGGGAATTACCTTCTTACCAATATTAGTTATGCCAATCTGTGCACACTGTGTATCTCTTAACTTATTCAGATCTTCTTTATTTATTTCTTCTATAGACTGCTTATTTTGATAGATTAAAAATTTTATTTAGCAATTGCATCACTAGTATAAAAATTGCAGTGGACTTTCCTGAATCATAGTTTTTATTAGAAGTGCTGAGAGTGGCCTTCTTTCCTTTGTTCTTATTTTTGGGGAGAAAGTTTTCTGACAACATTAAATATGATATTAGATATAAGCTTTTCTTTTAATAGATGTGCTTTACCGTATTCAGGAAAATTTCTGAGCGTT